AAAGTGCTGGGATTACAGGTGTGAGCCACTGCGCCTGGGCCAGAGTTTTTTAAAAAGGCGTTTTGTCATAGCCTTACCTTTTGATACGTTATCTCACTGGTCATATGCTTTAAGGAAAAAGATATCACATGGGCACAAGGACCCACGCTGTAAATAGGTTGACCTTCAGCCCTGGAAACATGGACCGTCAGCCCTGGCAAATTTTCAGATGCTTTAAAGGCCCAAAGAATGAGGACATGGGGTAGGATTATGGAGATGGCCTGTGCAGCTCTCCTTGACCTTGGCCACAAGGGGTCACCTTATTCTTAGATTTCTTAGAAGGGACCTTTTTTTTTTTTTTTTTCTTTCTGGAGTCTATTGCTTTCCCCACCACCAAACAGCATTGACACCAGATGATTCTAGCCTGTTGTGTGGGTGTGTCAGGCGGGAATGTGTTGGTTCCCTGCCTGTTCTACTAGGGATAGACTGGCACTGCCTTTTGTGGAGCTGCTGTGGAGACAGTTTGACCAGATCCATGTTTAGCCAAGAGATGCTACCGACTAGGTGTCAACCCTGTTTGGCCCCGTGTTCCATCAGTTACATTGCCAAGACCAGCTCGGTCGGGGAGACCCTAACTCAGCGGCGCTAGAGGAATTAAAGACACACACACAGAAATACAGAGGTGTGAAGTGGGAAATCAGGGGTCTCACAGTCTTCAGAGCTGAGAGCCCCGAACAGAGATTTACCCACATATTTATTAACAGCAAATCAGTCATTAGCATTGTTTCTATAGATATTAAGTTAACTAAAAGTATCCCTTATGGGAAACGAAGGGATGGGCCGGGCCGAATGAAAGGATTAGGTTGGGCTAGTTAACTGCAGCGGGACTTGCCCTTAAGGCATAAATGGCTCATGCTATTGTTTGTGGCTTAAGAATGCCTTTAAGTGGTTTTCTGCCCTGGGTGGGCCAGGTGTTCCTTGCCCTCCTTCCTGTAAACCCACAGCCTTTAAGCTTGGGCGTTAGGGCCATTATGAACCTGTCACAATGCTGCAGAGATTTTGTTTACGGCCAGTTTTGGGGCCAGTTTATGGCCAGATTTTGGAGGCTTGCTCCCAACACACATGGTGGCGTTTTATGACTGTGAGTTCTTTCCCAGAGATGAACTTCATGGGAACTCACTCTTTACTTGATAGTGAGAAGAGGAAATATTTGCCTATTACGGGCCCATCTTGAGCCTTTGAATGGTGGTTTATTGCTAGTGGGAGATGGGAAGAAATATGAGAAATCTTCCGCCTTGAGGTTGGGCTATTGCTCTACCTGGGGGAGGACGTAACTTCTGTTCCCAGCAGAGCTTTGCAAAGTGACGGAGCAGGTCTGGTCTTGTTTTTGGCTGGCTGAAATACCAAGTGTACTTGCTGTGACATTTCCCTCATGAGGCAGAGAAGTCCCAGCAGTGAGATGTAGTCCGCCCTCCAGGACTGAACTGCTTTTTTAAAGCACCAAGTAAAATTCTAAATGTCCTCACTTTCTCATTTTTAACCCTTTCCTTGGCATTTTGGAAAACCATGCCAACTCCCTGAGTGGAAATGCTCTATGGCGAAGGTTTGCGTATTGAATTGAGGGAGAGCTGTTAGTATGGAATGGTAGGAAGCTGCAGGAGGTAGGTGGGTGCTGACAGGTGTTTTCAGTGGGCTCCTGCCCAAAGGGTCATGAGTCATTACGCTCTCTTTTCTCACAAATCCATAATTTTTTCACCTGTTGAGTGGCCTTCTTATTTGACACAAAGTCTCTGGCATTGCTCTTCTTCCAGGCAGAGGTGTTCCATGTTCTACCTGAGTGTGTACAGCCCCCACAGTTACTGCCTTGCTGCCTTCCTGGCCTTGGCTCAAGCAGGGGGAACAGGGAAGGGACTGGTCCTCTCTGCTGTTCCTGCTTTGGTTCTGCAGTGAATCCCTGCCCCTGGCCCTTCCTGCTCCTTCTGACAGTAGCCTCCCGTGTGGAGCACCCCAGGATCTACTCC